GTTCTCTGTATAATAGAGTCTTCATCAAAATATTTCTTTCAAATTAGTTTATTTTGTTGTTCAATTCATGTTCCTTTAGCATCCAATCGTCCATGACTCTATTTTTGAACATGCATAGTTCTTAAATATGACATTCTAATTCTTCATCATTATGATATCCAAAAAGGAGCTGGTTGTGTATATTTGCTATTCTGTCCCAAGCAGATTAGAATGACAGTTTCAATATCAAAAATCATGAATCATAACATCTATTTAGTTGACCAAACTGCTAATTGGCTTGATTGGTCACCAGTCAAGGCAAAATATTATGCCTTCTATGTAAAATCAAGAAATATTTGAGATACCAGAAGCAATATTTGAGTTTCGCATCAGAATACCTGTATAAATAAGAATGTGTTATTGAAGGTACACAATGTTATTCATGAGGTACATCTACTTAGAACAGCTTAGTGATGGATGCATTATAAATCAATCAAAAATACATCAGCTTTAATAATTAATAAATATGATCATGCAACAAAATTTTTGAGTGACCTATAAAACAACCAGACAGAAAGGAAAGATTTAGTTCTACTTAACAAGGCTCCAGTCTAAAATATTAGGGTCAAATTCCAATTTGAAAGCAGTTCCAGGAGTACAGCTCCCATTATATAGACTACAAAAATCTGGACAATCACCAATGACAGGAAGGTTTCCTCAAAGTACGTGCAATTATATCTTTCTTATGAATGCTGCCTTTCTTTTTGATGTATCAGTTTTAATATCCAGTACTCTGAAGTAAATCACACAACCTACCTACCATTTGCTGAAAATCATTTGGATTCTCAGCAACACAACATGAACTGCACAGAAAAAGTATATTCACATTTCTTAAGCGTACACCTGTACATTGCTTATAAAATTCCTTATACACATGTCTATAGGTCAATTAAACAACCAAGGGAACACCATGTATTCTTATATTAACACTGTGCAATACATTAAATAATTTGTTATATATCCCATGCATTATTATACATGCTTCACTTCCATGTAAATAAAATAACTCAGACTCAATTGGATTGCTTCAGGATATTTATTCATTTACTTGTATCCTGCATTTATTATTTTTACAAATAACTTAAGGCAGAGAACATAACCAACAGATCTCGTATTTTCCCCACAACAACAATCGTGTATATATATGCCTTGATTTTTTTTTCTTGGAAGTTAATATTTATTTCATCAGTTCAAATTCTATTCTTAGATATAGCATTTTATCTTCATACAGCTCTCCAAAATATTCCTTCCAGCATTCTATCATCTCAGATTCAACACAAATAGGATTTTAGGATTTAGGATTTTATTAGTATTTATAGGCCGCCCTTTTCCCTGAGGGGACTCAGGGTGGCTTACATAAAATAAGGAAGGGAGGGTACAGACAATAGACACAAACAATACATAGAAGTAAAATAGTAAGCAACATTCATTCATCATTCGGGTGGGGACAAATTATCTTTATCCCCAAAGTGACCAAGGTTGGACATACCTTCCCTATATC